ATATATATATATACACACACACACACACACACACACATATATATATATTTTTTTCTTTATCCTTTTATCAGTTGAGGGCCAGGGATTTAGCTCAGTGTTCTGCTGCCTGCCTAACAAGTGCAAGGTCCCAAGTTCGATCCCCAGTACCAAAAAACAACAAAACAACCCCCTTACATCAGTTGATGGACACTTAGGTGGTTTTTATTTCTTGATTATTCTGAATAGTGTTACAATGAACATGGGAATGAAAATATCTTTCTAACATACTGATTTCATTCCTGGACATATACCCAGTAGTGGCATTACTGGATCACAGCAATCCTGCCTCAGCTTCCCAAGTGCTGGGGTTACAGGCATCCACTACCACATATAGTGCTTCTATTTTTAATTTTTTTGAGAATCTTGCACACTGTTTTCCATTATAGCTCTACTAATTTACATTCCCATCAATAGTATGTAAGATCTCCCCTTTCTCTGCATCTCACTGTTATAGTTTAGAGCTAAAATATCCCCCAAAAGTCTGTGTTCAGAGGTGGGGTTTTTGGAAGGTAATTGGACCTTGGGGGTACTACATTCACCAGTGGATTAATCCATTGATGAGTTCATAGCTGAATGCACTGTTAGGAAGTGAGATTCAGCTGGAGGAGATGGGTCACTGGGGGTGTACCTCTGGAGTATATCTTTTCCTCTCTGGCTCTTCCTCCCTCACTACTTCCTGGTTGCCATGGGCCGACTGGCCTTCCTCCACCAACCTATTCTACTGCGCCGTTTCTGCCTAGGATTCAGGTGATCATGGACTGAACCCATTGCAATTGTGAGCCAAAAATAAACCTCTCCTCCTTAAGTTGCTGGTGTTAGGTATTTTGTCCCAGTGATGGAAAAGCTAACTAATACAGCATTTTCCCTCTTTTTTAAATAATAGTCATTTGGCAAGAATGATATGGTATTTCACTGTGGTTTTGATTTGCATTTCCCAGACGACTAGTGATGTTGAGCATTTTCTCACCAGTTTGTGCCCTGAAAGTCCAGCAGAGAAAATGATAGTTTTCCATGCCTTTTAGTAGTTGGTTCATACCTAGGGACCCAGCAACTACTGGGACACACATGAGCTGGGGCTGGTGCACAGGCAAGCAGGCAGGCAGGATGGGAGAAGACTTTGAATAGTCCAATTTCACTTAATCAGTATCTACAAATAGCCTCCTGTAAAACAGACCCAGTGCTATATGCCAGAAATATGAAGGAAACAAGACAGTCACAGCTCCATTCATGAGGACCCTACTGTCTTGTGGGGAAGTTAAAGGGACTAGGAATAATTTCCCCGAGAAGGCTTATAAAGAACAAATTGTAATAATAATGACGATAATATGTACTAAGTGTCTACTCTGTGTCAACACTATAATCAATGCTTCACCTGTCATTAGGGACTTAATTCTTGCCACGCTCCGAGGCAAGTGCTTTAATTATCTTTGTTTCATGTTGTGAAACTGAGGCACAGGAAGGTTGGGCAAATCAGCCACAACACCATGCAGTGATTCTCTGTGATCCAGAAGAACTGGACAGCCTGTCTAATGAGAGAATATACTTAAGAGGGCTAATATGGTAGTACCTGGCCCTATAAGTAGGTGCTGAGTAAATGTTTCTTTCCTTGTCTGTAGAGTCATTCTAGAATAAGGTGTATGATTACTTCTTAGGGGTCCTAGAGAGAGAGGCTGAGTATCAGGTGGGTAGAAACACTGTATATCTAATCATGAGTATCCAACTCCACTTTTCCTGGAATAATTATTTCCCTTCTTGGTAGTAATATTGTAAGGTAATTATCAACCACTTCTGAATTCCCATACCCTGACAATGGCAGCATGGATGGGAAACTAAGGATATGAGCCAAATTGTTGGTGAACAAACCATTAATTAACTAGTATCGATCATCTATGACACACAAAGCATACTTTTCTGAGCTCTAAGTCAATGTGCACAGCAGGAAAGAGGCATGAAAGTGTTCATACCTGAGATTTGGTCCTGGCTTTGTCATTAATTTACTCTGTAACCTTGGTTTTTCATCCCTATAAATAAAGGGGTAGAAATATTACCTTTAATGTTGTTTCAACTTGAACAATGGATATAAATTATTTGCACTCAAAAGTCAGATCTCAGCTATGAGAGGACTCATTTTTCCTCCAAGAAGCCAGGAAGGTCACAGAACCCTGGGAACTCAAGAGGACTTTAGATATAATAATCAGTCTAAAGCTACCCCCACTTGACCAATGAACACTTATAAAATGTGGCTAGTCCAGCTAGGTGTGGCGGTGCATACCTGTAATTCCACCACTTGGGAGGCTGAGGCAAGAGGACTGAGGCCAGCCTGGAATACATAGTGAGACTCTGTCTCAAACAACAAAAAAAATGTGATTAGGCCAAAATAAGGTATGCTATACAAGCAAAATACACACAAGAGTTTGAAAACTTAGTATGAAAAACTATAGAGGTCCTGTCCTTGAGTGCATGCCTGCTGCTCTGGCCTTCGATCTAACCCAAGCCCAGCCATGGCTTCAGCTTTGGAGGAGTTGCAGAATGATCTAGAAGAGGTAAAGGTGTTGTTGGAAAAGGCCACTAGGAAAAGAGTACAAGATGCCCTGACAGCTGAAAAATCCAAGATCAAAATAGAAATAAAATCACAAAAGAAACCAGAATTTCTTGACAATGAAAAACCAGCTGCTGTGGTTGCTCCCATTGCAAAAGGATATACTGTGAAAATCATTAATTATGGATGGGATCAGTCAGGTAAGTTTGTGAAAATCTACATTACCTTAACTGGAGTTCATCAAGTTCCTGCTGAGAATGTGCAGGTACATTTCACAGAGAGGTCATTTGATCTTTTGGTAAAGAATCTAAATGGGAAGAATTACTCTATGATTGTGAATAATCTCTTAAAACCCAGCTCAGTGGAAGGCAGTTCAAAAAAAAAAAAATGAAGACTGATACAGTTCACATCTTGTGTAGAAAGAAAGCAGAAAACACGCAATGGGAATACTTGACTCAGGTTGAAAAAGAATGCAAAGAAAAAGAAAAGCCATCCTACGATGCTGAAACAGATCCTAGTGAGGGATTAATAAATGTTCTAAAGAAAACTTATGAAGATGGAGATGATGATATGAAGTGAACCATTAATAAAGCCTGGGTGGAATCAAGAGAGAAGCAAGCCAAAGGTGACACAGAATTTTGAGACTTTTAAATCCTTTTGAGAACTATTATGTGGAAATACTGCTATTTCCAATAAGGGAATGTTGGTGAGCTGCACATATGAATTTGACAGGTAGCTACAAAGCCTTCAAATTAAAGGCAATGAATTCTCCATTTCTTATTGGAGGATTTATTTAAATAAGATATGCATATTAAACATTTCCTCCAAAGATGGTTTCATTATACCCTGGTTGTTTTGTTTAAGGAAGGGTTATATGGTATTCTCATCGAAATATAAAAACCAAGTCTTGGGGCCAGGGATTTAGCTCAGTGGTTCTACCACCTGCCACGCAAGCGCAAGGACCCAAGTTTGATCCCCGGTACAAAAAACAAAAACAAAACTAAGTCTTGTCTAAAAAAACCAATACATTATATGTGTTTTTGTTCAGCTAAGAGGTAGAAAACAAAAGTATTTGCTTGCCTGTAAGTTACAGATGTCAGCTCCCACTAACGTAAAACTGAATTTTTGTATAAAATTCAAATTTGTGCCCGTGCTTCAAATTTGCTGTAGAATGGATGATCCCCTATTACCAGCTTGAGCAGTGCATATACCAGGGATTACCATGTACTAATAAGCCAATCACAAATGTTTCTCTCTAGATTTAAATATATTTGTTTATGAATATAGAATTAAGAATAGACAAGCATCTTCATATAGTTGCAGTTAGTAAGTTCTACCATGGATCCAATAATAATAACCATAAAGCAAAAATAATTAATTTGAAAATCCATCTATTCCTATGTTCAATAAAATTGGATTTTTACATAAAAAACCTGTAAAATATCTCATTAATATCCTTCTATTTTTAATCCTTTATACTTTTAATCTTTATATCATTTATATTTTTAATACATTGAGATAAATATATTTAAACTAATATCACTATTTTTTTTTTGGTACCAGGGATTGAACTCAGGACCTTGAGCTTGTGAGGCAGGCGGCGACACCACCACTGAGCTAAATCCCCGGCCCACATCACTCTATTGTTTTAAAAATGTTTTAATGAGGCAGTGTAGCTCCCATTGTACTTGTAGGTTTCAATATTGCTTTAAAGTGAAAGCCAAGCCCAGAAAGGAAATGACCTTTCCACGGAGCCAAAACTGGAACAAGGGTCTCTTGACTCCTCAGTGAAGGCTCCTTCCATTCTTAATGGGCTGTGGGAGCCAGTCTCAAGATGGTCCCCAAAGCTCCTTACCCTTTGCAGTTCCTGTCATGGCCATTTCACACTAAAATAGGGCTCATCTGTTAGGAGACTGCAGAAAATATCCATGTGACTTCCAAGGAGGGTCATAAACAAACATGGTGATTCCTACCTTGCCTCTCTCTGCTATCACTTGCTCTGGGGAAGCCAGGTAACCTGTCATGAGCACACACCAGCAGCCCTATGGATGGTTCACATGGTGAAGAACTAAGGCCTCCTGTCACAACCAGAACCAACTAGACAATTGAGTGGATTATCTCTGCAGCTGTCCTCCAGCCCCAGCTGACATCTTTAATGCAAGCTCATGCAGACACCCCAGTGTAGAGACACCTACCTAAGCTTCTCTCAATTTCCTGACCTGCAAAAAAAAATGGTAATATTTATTGTTGTTTTATACAGAAGTAGGTAACTAGTACAGTCTTTCAAATGAAGGAACTGCATGTGAGAAAAATTTCTCTATTCAGCATTTGTGCAATGTAAGAAACTATTTGTTTTTCCTATAGCCTGTGGCTTAGCTCAGAGCACCCTGACCAAAATAAATTACCAAATCTAGAGAATCCATTGCAGGACAATATCTCATTTTATTTTTTCAAGAAGCTTTTCCCTTTATTCCAGAAAGTAGCCGTGTACATCTCTTGAGAACAAAAAAGTACCACATCATGTCACTTTGTCTGGGCCATCCAGAGATTTGAATCCCAGCCCATAAAAGAAAAAATTGGGGTTTTTTTGTTGTTGTTGTTGCTTTTTGAGATGATGTTGCTTTGTAGTGCCACCCAGCGTCAAACTCGCGGGGATCCTCCTGCCTCAGCCTCTTGAGTGATTCCCACAAAGTTAAAAAAACTAGAGACCAGAATTGCTCAATCAGATACAACATTGAGAAAGTAGCAAATAAATTAAAAATGACAGTCTATGATATCTGCATTTTTCCATGCTGAAAAACTGTCAACAGTCATTCTGTTTTATTCAGCATGTGCTGCTTTTTGTAGCGAGTTCACATCCAGTACCTCTGAGGTAGACTAGGATAATAGCAACATACCTAAGGAAACAATGTCTTGGAGCTCATGATTTGCCCTTAGTATCATGGTCAGAGAATGACATGCTAGGTCTAGAATTGGGGTTCTGGTGACTGAAGTCAAATTTGGTGCTTTCCAGTACATAACCATTCTAGTTGTGCTAACATGAATGCCCTTTAGTTGAGGCTGTCCTCTGAGACCAATGTGCACTTGTAGGTTTCCTTAAAGGCCACAAGGAAAGGTGTCATTACTTCATCCACAGTAACATGCCTCTGGAGCTCCTTACTCAGGGAAGTGACCCCAGTCCCGACCAGTCCACAGGGCACAATATGTTCAAACCATGTGAGGTCCGTAGAGCAGTTCAGAGCCAAGCCATGGGATGTGATGTGCTTTCCACAGCGGACTCCTGCAAAGCAAGCCAAAGGGTCATAGAATAGACATCCTCTACCCTGCAGGCTTCAGGATCCTCCTGGTGCGATAACTGGGCCAGACTACTGGTTTTCAGTATTTGTTTCTGGAACATGGATTATGCATAGAATGGGGGAAGAAGCCAAACTAGAGATGGGATTGGGGCTGTGTGGTTCTGCATCGGTTGCCCATCTTACGAGGATTCCCTAAAGCGATTCTTTCGCTTTAAAAGCACAGTTTTCCCATAGGAAGTGGCTCTCCGATTCAGTTACAGTATTTCCATCTGTAGCAATGAGTGTAACTAGATAATTTCTGAGGACCTGTCTGCCTCCCCTCCGAATATAAGGGATTTATCTGCCGAACAAGCTGAAACCCTTAAACGCGACGTACAGCTCTAATTTAAAGCCGGCACGTTCTCGACCCTCACCTCCACTGTTCCGCCCCGCGGCGCTCACCGATCGCGCAGATCTTGCTCCGGCCCAGCCAGACGCCGGTGTAAGGCGGGGGCCGCGCGCACACGCCCGGCAGGCCTAAGAGCTCACACAGGCGCACGGCGCACGCCTCCAGCGCCGCCACGTGGGTGCGCAGGCGCAGACCGAGGCGCCGAAGGTCGAGCACTGGGTGACAGAGGAGCTGGCCAGGGCCATGGAAAGTGGCCAGGCCGCCGCGGCCTGTGGCGCGCACCTCTGCGCCCAAGGCCCGTAGCCGCACAGTTTCCTCGGGCGTGAGGCCGCCGCGCAGCCCAGCTGTGTACACGGGCCCCGCGGGTTCGCAGAGCAGAAGCGCGCCTGCCTCAGCCCCTAACCGGGCCTCAGTGCCAGGCTGGGCCTGCATCCGGCATAACCAGCGCTCCTGCAACGCCAGCAGTTCAGCATACTGCAGCCGCCCCAGCCAGAGCAGCTGGACAGCAGGTCTAGCCATCTCAAGGGCTTCGGGGTAGGCGGGCTCCGCCCCCTGCCTGGGCCTGGGGGCGGGGACTCAGGGCCACGCCCCGAGCCTCCGCTAGCCAAACTTGGTAGAAGCTCTTTCGAGGTAGTATGATCCCAAGAGCCGCACAAGCTGGGGATGTGGCCCAGTGGTAGGGCGTTTCTCTGGCGTACATAAAGCCCTGAGTTTGATTCATAGCACCACCAAGACCCAGTGCAAAGTTGGCGTCACCCAGTTGTTCAACAGCCAGAGCTTAGTATGTGCTATGTTCTATAGGCCCAATGCTCGGCGTATGATAAATACAGTATATGATGCAATAGTACAATATATGAGGGGTTAAAAATATGTCCTGGTGAGCTTGTAGTCTTACAGCAACGGGGATAGTACTTCAGACCAATGCGTGTAAGACAGTGATAGAAGCATTGAACAATTGAATCAGAGGCTTTATCTGGATCCAAGGAATGCTCTGAGCCTGGTGTGACCTATGGGGGCAGAAATTGATATCCTTGCTGACCAGATCAATGTTTACAAACTATATATACATGGGAAGGCACAGTAACTTTTGTCCAAGCTGGTTCCTTTTGAGTGGAGGGCAGGTCCCAGAGTGAGTGGAACTAATTCAGGTGCGAGTCAGCAACCCACTGCCAGAAGCTAGGGAAATGACTGCCTAAGTCCTCAAAGGAGAGGTGGACTACAGCATATGCTGTGTGACAGTTGGAATGTCATTTAAGTAAATCCGCTTTTGTTTGTTGTTTTTGTTTTTTTAAGGAGGGGGTGCTGTTCTTGAATATTTTGCTAGGACCTTGAAAAACTTGTCACTTCCAGGTCCTGTGCCTAGTGGATACAATATCTCTGAATGATGAGGCCACTAGCTGAGACAAGGAACCAGGGTGAGTGTAATCTCTCTCGTTGGCCCCCTTCTAGACAGGAAGGCAACCCCTGCACAGAGAGTGTGGCTAGAACTAGTGTGTAATTTGTGGGGCTGACGATGCATAGATGCTCAAACAGAAATATTAGTTAATCCTTCTGTAGCTGGGGAATAGACCCAGGGGGAGTGTGGGACAGGAAGTGAAGAGAGGGAAGACAGAATAAAACCAGAATGATGCTCAAGATCAAGAAATTGGGGTGAGTGACAAACTAGCTTAGGCAAACATAAACAATGTAGGTTTCGGAGCAGATCACAAAAGTCATTGTGAGTCATCAGTGGCAGTGCTGTGATTTAAAAAATAAACATAGCATTTAGATAGCCTTGGGCTCTGAGAGAAACTGGTTGGATTATATGAGGTCCTGTCCCAGGGCACCTAAAGCTATAAATATGTCTCAGGTGGGGAAAGTAATTCAAAGGATTTTATTCCTATAAAAGATGATCTCAGTGCTCCAGCCTAAGATTTGTTTTGCCATGAAGTGGGAATCTTATACATGGAGTCCAGGGATCCGGGTTCATGTTTTGTCTCTATCACTATTTATTTGAAAATATGAGTTTCTTCGGGGTAGGTAATATTTTACTCGGGTCCCTGTCTAGCCTAAATCCTGGCACCCAGTAAGTTCTTAGTAAATATTTGCAGAATGAGCAAATGATTTGTTAAATAATTTGCTGTATGTGCTGAACTAAGGCTTTTTACCAAGAGTCTCAAAAAAGGAAACATGAGGTCAAGGTGGCCTACAGGTGCCTAATGATCCCAAGTTTTGGGGACATGAAGGCTGATATTTGCCTATCATCATGCTAAGAAGTGTTCAACCCATAGCATGATGAATCAAATCTAAACTCAGACCACAATGCTCAGTTCAAGAGATTACTTTCTCCACTTGGCCTCTCTTCACCATTCCATCAGCAAATTGTACCTCTGCTGACACTATTCTGCCTTGGTTATTTTGACTTGGGGTCATTACCTATTTCCCCATACTCCTGTCTCATTCCTGTCACCTGAGAACAGATTAATAGCTAACAGGTAGCCCTTACAAGATACTGGACACTAAGAGCTTTGAAATCATCAATGCATTTAATATCTAACATCCACAAAGTGGTCATATTGCTATTTCACAGATGATAATACTAAGGCCCAGACTGAGTAAATTGCTTTCCATTGGACTACTAGAAATGGCAGGAAAAAAAAATTCAAATCTGAGTGATCAGGCTTCAGAGACCTGCAATTTAATCAAGACCCTTTCTTTTTTATTTTTAAATACCCCATAACACACATCCCATGGTTCAGCACATAGTAGCTATGCAATAAATGCTTTCTGGATAAATGAATGACTGGATAAATGAATGAATATATATATATATATATATAGGGGTTAACAGGGCCTGGGGGAGGGAGGCTGGGGGGGGTGGGAAGGTGTTTAGTGAATAAGAGTTTCTGTTTTGCAATGTGAAAAAGTTCCAGAGATTGCACACTAGTGTAAATATGCTTACACTACAGAAGAACATACTTTACAATAGTCTCCTGAGCTAAGTCCCTGGCCTTTTTAAAAAATGTTTTTTTTGTGTGTGGTTTTTTTTTTTTTTGAGACAGGGTCTCATTAAATTACCCGGGCTGGGGTTGAACTTGGGATCCTCCTGCCTAAGCCTCCCAGAGTGCTCGGATGACAAGCATGTACCACCTTACCCAGCATGTTATGTTATTTTTTTAAACTTCTTTTTTTTTTTTTTGTACCAACGATCGAACTTGGGTCCTTGTGCTTGTGTGGCAGGCGCCGGAACCACTGAGCTAAATCCCCGGCCCATGTTATGTTATTTTATCACAAGTAAAATTTGTCAAAACTCAATGGTTGCCAGGAGTTGGGGGTAGTTGGGGAAAACGGATAAAAAATAGAACATAAGATTCTTAGGGCAGAAAATTATGCTGTGTGATATACTGTTATGAGCCCTAAACTACAGACTTTTGTTGATAAATCATATTGATATTTGTTCATTCATTATAGCAGGTGTATCACAATAGAATAAGATGCTTAGGATTAAAAAAAATGTTAAGGATGAAGGAAACTGAGGGTTAAGGGAGGATAAAAGCAAAAAGGGAAATACGAACTCCCTGTAATTTCTGCTCAATTTTTCTGTAAACCTGAAACTACTATAAAAAATGACTAGTGATAAAATTTAAAAATTTTTTTTTGTTTGAGCTAGGGTCTTGCTATGTAATTCAGGCTGGCCTTGGACTCAATATGTAGCTCAGGCTGGCCTTGAACTCTAGCAGTCCTCCTGCATCAGCCTCCCAAGTGCTGGGAATACAGGTAAGCATCACCATACCCGGCTCTTTTCCTTTTTTTCTCTGGCACAGATTCATCCAGAATAGATTTGATGACTCTTTCTCTTCCTTTTTTTTATGGTGCTAAGATCAAGGCCTTGTGCATGCTTAGCTCATGGTCTCCACTTGGTCTACACTTCCAGCCCTTCTTTTCAGATTATAGATTTGGAGGAACTAGAGCAGAGTTCTCAACCTGTAGTCTACATAAGAGTCATCCTAAAACCTGTTTTTTTATAGTTAACTCTCAACAGTGAAAGTTGGTCCGGTGAGAAGCCCAGCATAGATGGCAGTCACTTCCCTCCTATTTGTTCCCCCCTATTTCTTTCTCTTTCCACACTGTAGCCAGAGATCTTTCAAAATCCCAGGTCTGTCTGTGCCACCCTGCAGTTTTAAAACATCCATTTGTCCAGCAGTATTTATCAAGTGCTTTCATTGTGCAGGACACTGAAGTAGGTGCTAGAAGTACAATGAATATAATAGTCCTTTCCTGTGTTGGGGCAGGAGCCCACAAACCTGTTGGCAATCAAGTACATCATTAAACAAAGTATTATAATAGAGAATAGACTGGGAGAGTAACGTGAGATAGTGTTCACAGAGAGGGCTCTCTGAGGTGGCTGAAGTTCAAACCATTGTCAGCTGGGAGAACATTCCAGACAAAGAGAACAGCCTGTATAAAGGCTTAGAGTGGTGGATTGAAGAAAATGAGAGAAGAAGGGTGAGGCTGGTGTGAAGTGAGGCCAGAGAGCTGCACAGAGGCCAGGTCATAGAGAGCCCTGAAGGTCACTTTAAGGTAATTGCAGAGCAAAGGGAATGCCACTGAGAATTTTAAGCAAGACAGTAACACTATGCTATTTACATTATAAGATCATGCTGGCTGCTTTGTGGCAAACTTGCTGATTGCTCTGTGGCAGACTGGCCAGAGGAAGGCAAAAGTGAAAGCAGAAAAGCCAGCTATAAAGATGTAGAAGAGATGGCTGTCTAGGCTAGGCGAGGTGGCAGTGGAGATGGAGAGGGAAGAGAAATTCAAAATATATATTGGAAGTAGAATCCATAGGACTGGATTACAGATTGGTTATGGGAGGTGAGAAAAAGGCAGGAATCAAGGAAGCAATACCATCCATGGTCCTGGACAAGATAGCATCCTTCCTTAGGTCCTGTGCCTTAGGGGCCTTATGTACACACACACACACGCGCACACACACACACACACACACTTTTAATTACTCTGATACTCAGGAGCTGGTACTCAGCGCTGGCCCTGTGTGTCCCATCCATTTAACATTCCTTGCCTCACTTCTGTATCTTGCCCCAAGTACACAAAACACACTAAATACACATACAAAGAAAGGAATATATGTAAGTGCCTAGTTTGAGCAGCTTTGACATACGTATACAAGTGTGCAGCCACTATCTCTCAATCATGCATATAGACATTTCCATGCCTTGACTGAGGTTCGGTGGCTTGCCTGCTGCCCACAAAAGAAATGGCCACTGATCTGGGTTGTAGGGAGCATGTGAGTGGCAAGAGCTTTTGGGTAAGAGATAAAACACATCAACTAACTGGTCCTGTGAAATCTTTTTTTTTCAGACAGTGTGTGTATAATGAGGTACCATTTCCCAGAATAGCAGAATCTATTTTCTTCTTTTTGTATTTTAATTTATGATCTGGGAAGAACTCAGGAATCTGCATAGGAATTCATACATACTTTCCAATATTAAACAATTCTTACTATTCTTACATTTATTTATATGAAGGTCTAGTTGTAGCA